TTGGTAATGATAAAACTTAAAGGTAATGTTGGCAGTGTGAAGGTGTAATAACGGGCTTTGTAGTTTTTTTTTTTTTTACCTTCCTGGTGGTATTCTAAATCTTGGTTCATAGAACACCTGTTGTTACGCAATCCACCGCAAAAAAACGGCGTGTAAACAAGAATGGCGCAATCTTTCAGAAGTATCTGAATTCTAAATACAGCTATAATTGGCTCAGTTTAGTCTTTCATGTGCATTATTTTTTGAAATGGAGAATTTCCATTTGATAGTTAAATTGTTTTCTCTGTGTGTGTGTGTGTGTGTGTACAAAGAACATTGCCGACCTAGTGCCAACGGCTACTCCTCAGCTATTTTCCACCACCTACAACACAACCAGGGTCACTCTTTCAAACTCGAGTCCACGGATGTATTAGACCGCGAAACACGCTGGTGGGAACGGGGTGTTAAAGAGGCAATATATGAAAGAATGTACAACCCCACCCTCAACAGGGAAGGGGGGCTACGGGTCGATCTTTCCGGCACTTGAGATTTGGCACTCCCAGCCCCGAGGACAGACAACACTTAACTCCTGTCCTGTAATACAGGAGCTTCCAGACTAATTTGCATCATCTTGTCTTGACTTGTCTGACTTTTGTTCCTTTTTCGACTTCCAAAAATTTGTCTTCACTTTATTTGCATATCAATCAACAGGTTGTGTATATAAACCTGCTTTCCCCTCTGGTCTCTCAGTCACTGACGAAAGCTAGTGGATACTAGCTGAAACGTCTGACGTTTTCAAAATCATATCCAGTTGCTTGACTCATTGAGTAACTGTTTTTTGGTCATGTGTGTGTGTGTGTTTGTGTGTGTGTGTGTGTTTCTCTGCGCACTTGTAGTTACCATAACTTCAGAATACCTTTATGGATTGTGATATTTGGTGTGTTGTTAGTTCTTAGGAAGACAAAGGTCAAGGTCAAATCTGGGCCTCCTGGTGGATGACCTTGGTACTGCAGCAGAACGTCTGGATTTTGTATCTTTTGTCCTGAACATGCCACGTTCAGACCATTTTGACTTTTTGGCGACAGATAGCATTTCCTGTCAGGAACACGTGGTGTAGGTTTGGTTCCCTGAGCAGCTTGTTCTAGATCTGGAAATAAAGGGCGTTTCCAGCATAATCTTTATTTAAAAAAAAAAGTTTTCATGATTTTTGGCATGTAGATAGCTTAGACGGAGATGTACACAATTAAATGTAAATTATATTGATGAAAACCCAATTTGCATAATTACCTTCGCCAAGAAGGTTATGTTTTCGTAGGCGTTCGTGTGTGTGTGTGTCTGTCTGTCTGTCTGTCTGTCTGTCTGTCTGTAAACACGATAACTTGAGAAGGCTTAAATGGATTGACTTCATATTTGGTAGGTGGGTAGGTCTTGATGAGACCTCGAAATGATTAGATTTTGGGCCCCCTAGCGGCTTCTTATGGTACTGCAGCTGAAATTCTGGTTTTGATATCTCGTGATCTAGACGTGCTAGGGTCACGAAATTTGGATGGTAGGTAGGTCTTGTGCTGGGGAAGAAGTGACATAGGTTTGGGCCCCCCAGCGCCTTGCTCGGGTACTGCAGGGGCATTTCTTTGAAAATATTCATAAGAGGATAACTCAAGAACCGGAGGACGGATCGTCGTGATTTTTGGTATGTAGGTAGCTTAAGTTACGCTTG